ATCCAACATTTATATTTAAGCCTTAAATCTGATAATTTTGATTTATAATCTAAACTCTTAACAAAAGTACATTGAACTGTGACTAAATGTTTAACATAAAAATTAAACTCAGAAAAGGAACACAAAACAAGATTTTCAACATTTTAGGTATTATAAATCAGTGAAAAATATTAAAATTAGACAGTCCTTTGCCATAACAAGTAACATCCAGAAATAAATTCCGGCCGAGTGTAAATCATTCTGTAGCATATTTATGTTTGTGTGTTTGGACATTCAAACATTTTCAAATCATAACGTTGTATTCCTGAATAATATTAAATTTTAATAATTAATATAAAAATAAAACATGATATAAGCCGTGGCCAGATATTAACCTTGTGTAGTGACCTTGACATTGGAATATATATATATATATATATATATTCGTCATATGTATGCCACGAAGAAAGGTATCAATATTTCTAGACACGATTAGGTTCCTTTCATATAGTTTTTAAAAAAAATTAAAAAATTTGATAAAAGTTAGGAGCGACAACAAGGAAACTTTTATTCTAACATCAGTGGTAAAAATATGGAAGAATCTTGATTTTTGTTTGACTTCGTCCATGCGAAAACATTCGTAAAGGAAAACTAGGCAACAGTGAATCATCTAAGACGTATACATTTAGTTACTAGGACAAAAATATTTATGATACGAACGCAAAGGAATGCCGTATTAATGTAAATTTCCCTATAAACAGTGTCCCTGTGCACCAATGTAGCCCGATTAACTGGATACGTGACCCAACAGAATGACGTATTGTTTTGGCGAAAGCAATAATATTAAACCCAAATTCTATATGTCTCAATTTTATTGTTGACTTTCGAGGTTTGCCGCACTTGTTATTCAAGCCATATCAACCATACCGTGGCCTTAATGTTGTTGTTTTTATTATCAAGTTTTGAAATTTATTTGAACATAATAATCACAAAAGTATTTTATTCCTTTTGACTTTTTATTACCGTTTAAGTGAGCTTGAACCTCATAGGGTGGAAATCTCGTCTACAATTGATATAAGTGGAAAAACCAGACCCAGTTTTCTTTCAGTCTTCCGTATTATGATCCTGTGATAGCTGTTAGGGTAAGAGAAGAAATTGTTAGCTTACACTACAGAATTTACGATATTGTTAACTACTAAGTATCAATTAAGTTTAGTTTTATTATTCGATCAATATTAGTCAATAATCTCACAATGTTATTGTAGAATTTATCAGCTGAACGATTAAACATTTCATTATCTATAAAAGGCTTAATGTGCCCCGAATATGTGACAATGATATTACAAAAAGCAGAAGGTAAACGAATCAAAAGAAGCACAAAAACATAGTCCGAGAATAATGTGTTACGCCTCCATTAAGTTGAACGCCCCAATACAACTTCCAATACACTTATTATGATCCGTTACTTTAATAAAATCGTGTATTCACGATCATTAAAATTACAACATCTGTATCTTAGTAATAGGTCAGGGGCCGATGATAACTATGGTTGGGTTTCTATTTAGTTTTATTGATTGTTTAATGTGTCCCGTTTAATTTTTTTTTTGTTAAGAACTTAGCTCTATTTATTCAACTTGACATGACCTTGACAAGCTTGACTTAATTATTACAACAATAGTAATATCCACGTATAATATAACAAGTAAATAGTAAGCAATCTTGACATGACAGTATGTGCTGTTTTAGTAAAAGAAACTTAATTTCAAGGCCATCATCACTAAACATCATTTCATGTCATTCAAAAGGTTTTTTGCGGAATATAATCGTCACTAAATTTTTTTTCGCGTTTTAAATTAACTAAAAGTATTGACATTAGTTAACTACATCTTATTTTATAGGTTCTATCAAATGATAAAAACTTGTCTCCTTGCCTTGTCTTTATATGGATAACACATTTACATCTTTATATATAACTAATGTGAGCACCTTGTTCTGTTTGTTAGTTTGTTATTCAAATTACAAAAATGAAAAAAGCATTGTCCTTAAAGCTTTCCAAAGTCATGTTCTTGTTTATAAATATAATAACAGCCCATGTTTTGTACCCGGATAAAACATTGGACGATAAAATCTCTTTTGCATTTATTTGAATATTATAATGACTTACATGTTATTCAACAATATCAAATAGACTTTTTCTTTTACGCCTTTTTAATTTTTTTTTTGAAACAGATCGAGACGAACAGGACGTAAACCTGATCGAATTTAAGGTGGAGATTCTTATCGTACTGTAATATTTACGTATTGTTGATAAAAAAACTATAAATTAAAGTTGATAGAATACAAGCAACATTTACTTAACATAAAGCTATTGTTATATATTACCATTGAAACTAAATACGAGACGATACGATATTCTTTCTAAATAGTAAATGCTAAAGATTCGACAAACTTTTGTATATTTTAGTTATTAAACTATTATTTATTCATTGGTTACAAGCTGTCGCCGGCGACTCCGTCCGCGCGGATTAAAAAAAAGGTTCCAAAAGGGTTTTCCCGGCATCTTTCAAACCCACACTAGACCTTCACGAACATTTCAAGACCAAGATAAAATAAATCCGTTCAGCCGTTCTAGAGTTTTAGCGAGACTAACGAACAGCAAATTATTTTTATGTATGGTATATTCTATATCAAATCAGGTGAAATGTTTTAAAGAACTCAAACTGAACAACCATTTGCAAAACAATACAAAAAATACCTACGCATTTCATATCTTGACACTAATAATATCAATTTGCTTCGCCAACGTCGTGAAAGCGATATAAACTTAAAAGCAAGAGACATGCGCAAAAACAACGCATTTTGTATTGGGGTTAACGGAAAAACCACATTAAGCTAAGTGTAGGTGAATTCATAAGGATAATTGATAAAAAAATTAGAATCGTGCCATAATTTGTACCGTTTTTAAAGTGTGTCATTTTTTATTATACGTTTTCACTTAAAAATTTAAAGATATGAACAAAAAAGTTAACTTTATTATCGCCTTAATTGCCGCGCAAACTATTCTTAAAAATTACTATGTTTATATTAATATACGAATGTTTTATGTCTTATTAATTAATTTTTATTCAGTGAGTTACACAATTAATTAAGTTTTTTGCTCAATTACTTTAATAATAATTAATTACTATATACTCTAACCTCACCATTATTAATTTCCACTTTCTAATGTCTATAGTTATCCTTGACATCAAATGAACTCGAATAAAAGATTATTCAAATATACTTAAAAACTTTTGTTACTAAGGGAATGAATAAAAAAGTCGCCTGTGTTATGTTCTTTTGGTTATTAATAAAAAACATTTAACTTATTAAATCTCTATGAAAACCAAATTCAAAACAAATATGTGTGTTTCAAATACGTTGTTAAATATAATTTTACAAAGTATTCGAACCCACGCCTGCACAAAAAAGCGCTACGATAATACAACTAAAGGGCTATTTATTACTTACTTAAAACATTCTCAATTTGTTGTTTCATTTAAAAACGGGTCCATAATGTGATGTTTTAACCAAAATGTGTTGTTTCGTTATATTTGTTTTTACATGTTTTGGATGATCCCTTTTTTCGAACTCATGTAAGACCCTTTATTTGATCCACCGTAAATTTTGTTTCATTTGTAATTGATATATGAGAATTTATTTAAAATTTACTTAACATTATAACTTTTAACAATAATAAACATTTCATTTCGGGTATTTTAAGTACTAAGTGACATTATTTTGCATCGGAAATGCAAAATTATGTATGGTGTAAACAGTCAATTTATAATACATCAAAAGCATAATAAAATGTTGAAAATAACGATGACATGCATCATAACACGTTGCACCAAGGTTATATCGTATAATAGACTCGTTTATATCAATTATTGTACTTAACAAGTACTTCTTCCAGTTTACTTCGTGACATGATTTGAAAATCGCTGATGTAATGTATAATCAAAAAAATATTTTTTATTATTCTTAAAAATGAAATAGTAACGTAATAACTATACAAATTATTAATAAGAATTAATCTTACTTAATAATATTATAAAAGGAAATGTTTGGACGGATGGATGGGTGGATGTTTGAAGGTATCTCCAGAACGACCTCATGGATCTCGCTGAAATTTGGCATAGGTGTAGAACATGGTCTAGAAGAAGGCTACTAATTAAGTTTTTTTTTTTAATTCCGCGAGGACGGAGTCGCAGGGAATAGCTAGTTAAAACTAATAGTTTTAATGAATTTTAAATCAAAAAATATGGTATTACACTCCACAACCGTGCGGTTTGCGCGAAACTTCCTGCCTCGCACAGCAGCGTTGTGGAATGGTCTGTCCTCGGCAGTATTTCCAAACCGCTACGACTTAGGGTCCTTCAAGAAGCGAGCTTATCACCACCTCAAAGGCCGGCAACGCATCTGCGGTTCCTCTGGTATTACTGATGTCCATGGGCGTCGTTGAACACCTCGGTGTTCCCGCTGCTCGTTTGTCCCTTCTGTTATAAAAAAAAACCTTAATCTTTGCTGTAACACAATTTTTAATGTATTTCAGTTATGACAGTAGTGATGGGACATCAAGGACCGAAGAAGGTGCAATACTGAATCCCGGTACGCCAGACGCAGCTCTCAATGTACTTGGTACCGTGCGCTGGTATGACGACAAAGGACAACTCTATGAAATGAGCTATAAGGGAGGTAAACGGGGATACCAAACGATTATTAAGAAAATTTCCTAGTGATCTGCTGGATAGAATTAGGAATCAAGATTTAATCAGAGACTGCGAAGTAGTATTTATTTTAATAGCGTAATTTTATTTGCAAATTTGCAATTATTTATTTATATAAAATCATCTAAAATTGCCTTATTAAAATGTATTTATTTAAAGTATGAGTTTTAACTGTTTCATTTCCAAACATTTAGCAAGGTCTTTAAAACATAATAAATATTTTTAATGACATATTTACGTAGCACTACATAAAATTAAGTTTAGAGATATTTTTTATTATCTTTAATTCGAATAAACGAAGTCATAAAGAATCACACACAAACATATACACAAACACAATACACACACGAAAACATTCAGTGGAATAGAAACTCATCAAAGTAACAAAATTATTGTTTTAAGTAAAATCTACTGAATATCTGCAAAATTAATTATTTCACACTAAACTCGAATGTTATATTATGTAAGGAAAGGTCTAGGCTCTATAAATACTGATCTAGTTAAAGAGCTAAAGCACTACTGAATAATAAATTTATAGTGTACAATAAAAAAAAATCTATCTTGGATAAAAATAAACGTAACCCACCTGGATTATTTTAGATTAAGGAGTTGAGGTTAGTTTATTTCTTTTAAATCACTCGATATACCCAATTTGACAAGCCCTTATAATTGAGAGACCTTATACTTTATTGGCTGAGATCATTTTTATTTGCTACAAAAGATAATTGCCATTAAAGTATGAACAGTTATCTAAACTCCAAAAATGGCGTGTTATTCTATTTTGGTCATCGCTTCGTCACTTTATCAATGTTATCACCTTCGTAATATTCGACACCGTTTGTATTTATTTGGGCAATCACTGTAACTTCAGCAAATAGAATACGTATATAAGAAGATGTATCTGGATTCCTCGTCACTTACAATCAATTGTTTAAAGGAAATTGAATCAAAATGTTCACTTTGGTAAGTTAAATTTATTTGTTCCTTAATTTTAAGTGGTTCCTAAAATATTTTAAACTATCGTCAATTTTAAAGTTTTAAAGTATATCATGAAAATGATAAAAAACGCAAAAGTAAATTTACCGAGTCATAAGTATTTAGTCTGTATGATTAAGACCAAAATGTATCGTCAACTTACATTCTCGTAGTTGGAACTCTTATAATTGTATGAAATTGGTGTAATTAAATATTTGTACATTTTATCGAAATATAAATATTTGTATCATTAAATATGTACGAGAAACTTAAATAAAAAACGATAGGCAATATTTTTAATTTTTAGTATTAAACTTTAGGTATTTCTAGAAAGTAAAAGAATTAATATTGACTTATATCCATTAATCATAGATTAAAAATTTCAGAAACACATAATCCTTTGCCTGGTCATAGCAGCCGCGGCTGCTGACTCGACTGATAAACCTGAAGTTGAAATTCTTACAGAAAAAAGCAACATTAGTGAAACTGGATATGATTTCGAGTAAGTTCATATTAACAAATCAGACAGACCTAATGGAGTTTTTCACAGTATATGTGAACAAATCAGAACATTTCAAATGGATCAAGATGCATTAAAACATAACTTAAGAAAAACTACATCGGATACTATGATGTTGTCTATGAAATATTTATGGGTATGGGAAAATTTAAAACATAGCTGACTGTAATTTATAGCAACCCCAAAATTCATACTCTGTGATTTAATTACAGACGTATTCTTAAATTTACGAGTGCTTTTTGTGTAATATGGATTTAAAACATCTGCCTGGGCACTAGCTTTGACAGAAACCCAAACTTTTTATCGTCACAACTATATCTCTTAAATCTGACAGATTAATAATATATTTTTTTATCTCAAGGTTTAAGACAAGTGATGGTGTGTCCCGTAAAGAAGAAGGTCAGCTTATAACTGTCGGGGAGCACCAAGGCATTGGAGTGAGAGGATCCTACTCTTACAACGCGCCTGATGGTCAACAGTACATCGTCACATTCGTCGCCGATGACAAAGGTTTCAAGCCCACAATCCGAGTTGCTGATCCTCAATAAACGATTGGATTACTGGATATACTGTTTCCTTTGTTACAATTACAACTATTACAAGTAATTAAAACTAAATCCTTGCAAAACTTCACGATAAAAATATTTTGCTGGTGCTATTTTTTGTGGCCAGGCTCTATTTCAGTATATGCTAACCAGCAACATTTTAAATTAAATTTAAAATTAATAATATAGTTTGGAATATTTTAAGTTGTATAAAAAATTATAAACGACACACAATTAGAAAGTAGTTTGCAGTTTTTGCTTTAGTAAAAATAGAATCTGGAACATAATCTAATAGATTTTTAAATAGAATATCTAGGCAACGAAAATGTTTGCCTAACAATTTAACCACAAAGTAATAAAACTTAGAACACAATAATTATGAGACACATAATGTTTCTAAAGGACAATGAAAAATTACAGAGTCGTCTCGTAAGTATTTGTCACCGTTTGCAGATGCACAACGGTGCGTTGCATAAGTTTCCCGTTCGCTTAACACTCGCCAAATAGGACTTGAAAACGAACGTATGAGTGTTTGTTTTTTACATAAACACTTGACCCAGTCTGCGTGGATTGTTTCGTCGCAGAGTTGTACGACTCCAGACTTTATTTTCATGTAATTTTATAGTTAATAAGATGAAAAATATAAATAAATAACAGGGATAGAGAGGTTAGAGTTTCAGGTACATTATTAACTGTAGGACTAAAAGTCTCTTAGGGTGTCCTTAGCACAGACATAGTGTACGAAATTTGCACTAAGATTAAGTGACTATTAAACGGTCGTGGTAATTTGAATCCAAATGATTTATCATTAAACGTCAAAGTTAATTGATTCTAGCAATATTTAAAAATATAAACGTACTCATTTGTTAGTAAGCTATACTCTGAGTACAACTAAAGGTTTCCATGTCATGGATACGTGGCGATTGACCTTTAGCTATTACTTTTAAGTTTCTACCAAAGATACCAATGAAGTATTATTCAATACTTTTATATATATTTAATTATTGAAAATAAACCCAAAAACAAAATTTAATATTTATAAAATGTTTGTAAATTTTTAACAATAACATGGTTGTCGTCTTGTGCGTTATACAAATGTATGTTTTAAATGCTAATTTATTTAATAATTGTTGACCAATAAAATTTTATATCGTGCATCTATCTTCATTTGCTATGACGTTACGTATTTAAACATAAGTAACCTCATAAAAATGACGTATTTCTTACTTTCCGTTGCTTTCTGCCAATATCATTAGTATAAAACATATCGTCATCCCTTTGGTCTCGGAAACCCATACTTAATAAAATGAATTAGTCAGTTTGTTTGGTCCCTTGGGTTGTTTGGTTGTTAAAAAAACAATTGACTGAAACCGACTGATTTTACGAAGAATTATAGAAATATATGTCTGTATCCTCACTTGTCAAGCCTAAGTCTATATTTAAATCTGATCATATTTTCAAAACGTGATATTGCAATATCATCATCACTAAATCGAAATCTTTCAAGGGTATAAATCCGCACGCCAATCATTCACATTTTCACTGATTTTTCATAGAATATATACGTTAAAACTTAACATTTTAACACGTTTAGTTAATATTATATTTATTATGTGATAAAATTACCTGGCGATTAATACTTCGATGCTTCCTTTTTTAACTATTTCGAAAGCTTCAATATTAACAGCAGAGATATACGTACTTCCTTCTACTGGAAAAATTTAAAGCAATAGAAAGCTTTTAAGCCAGTTACATAAGAGATTAAAATCTTTGCATCATCTAAATTGAGTTTTGTCGTGAGTCGTTGAATACTTTCATGACAATAATTTTTTTTGTCGTCTAAATTTAAATAACCTTCATGTTATCATTTTGAACTTAATGTTTTTTTTTTATTTAATTCGCTAACGCTAAGAGGTGATATGACCGAAATATGGTACTCGCTTGTTTAATAAATGCCTACTCACTTTACTTTTGCAGGCACCTCTTGTTAAAACTTACTCCACATTTTCGTAAATTTGAATTTACTTCCTATAGGTAAGAACTCTATTGAATAAATATATTATTAGTGTAGAAATAAAATTGAAACGTAACAATTACAAAGTCATTATATTATAACTCAAGAAACAAAAAAGCAATAACAATAACAATTGTGTACAACAATATTTACATAATCATGTGTATCATATATATTGTAGAAGTCTTTGTACATTATGATTATATTTCTATTAAATGTTAATACAGCTTATATACTTATATATATTTGGTTTTAGCAATAGGGGATTAAGACAGTTTAATTCATGATTGAGAGGATTCGGTTGTCTTCTCCTCGGTGGGTTGGTAACCGTTCTTATCGGCAACGTAGGTGACTTGAATGTGCTGGCCGTCAGGGGCTATGTATCTGTAACTTCCCTTAACAGAGAGACCTTGTTGTTCTGTGTCGTTCTTGTAGTCACCCTGTTCTTGTCTCGATGTGCCGTCGCTTGTTTCAAATCTAAAAAAGTTAAAGAATATTTATTAAATGAGAATTTATAGCGATATGCAGACTCTGGTTTCAATTGTAAACTCGATTTTTTTTGCATTATAGTAATTATTAACTTATTTTTGCCACACAAGGGGAGGTCAAATGTGTTAAAAATCTACTATAGAAGTAATAATAAAAATACTTTTTTCAATTCAAGTAGTGCTAATGTTTTCTTTTTATAACTCTGATAAGACAAATGGTTCCAATATTTGTCATGTGTAAATTTAATCATCGAACCTTTCGATTTACCAATGTTGCAACATAAGTATTGCCTTGATAGATTGTTTTGCGTCAAATCTCACATCCAACAACAGCTCAAATAGGACTAGTCACCATTTATTTTCAAACACAAGCGATCGTAAAATGTTTACTCAATGACACTTAGGTGCGAAGTAATACAACCTTACAAACTAAAAATAACTTAAATGCACTCTGAGGTACTTAGATTAATTGCAGTCTTCACAGTATTTAAGGTTGTGCATGTGACAGGAATGCGTAAGTTTTTGAGCATGCAAAAAAAACTACTTAGTAAAAAAGTAGGGCAATAAATGTACTCACTCAAAATTGTATCCATTGACGTCCACTTCCGAATCCTGTTTCACGATTTCCACCGGAGCTTTAGTCGGTTCTTCCTGGGCCAATACTAATGCCAAAGCAGCAAAAGCGAAAAGTGTCTGTAAAATATAAGGTTTATTATTTTGTGTTAAAGATTCATTTTATTATTATGTCTAAAACTTATTGTATTAGTGTAATTTTTCGAATGTGTAAATATTCTACACAAAATCTTATAAAAAACCCAAATTGAAGTAGATTATACTTCAAAATGGAATTATAAAAATATAAAATTATTATTACTTACAATTTTCATCATTTTGATAAAAGTTTCTGAAAATTGAGATGTTGATAGATGGACGATTCTTTAACGTCTATACCCTGAAACGGCTACAGTGAGCTATAAATAAGAAGACAAAGTATTGACAAGGCGATATTTCGTATCATTGAAGGCGAGGTGTTAATCACAATCATGCAAACAGTTTATTTAAGGTGATCCACGAAAACGTTGCGGGGATTTGTCAATTGTGTAAATTGTTTGTTCGCAGCTGGGACACGCGTGCATCACTTAACCTACATTTTTTGCCGGCCTCAGTGAAATATTGAAAAAAAAACCTTCTGAAAAAATTACACATATGAGCTTTTCAAGTTAATATAGGAATAAGCTTTTAACGCAATAATTATATAATAATTCCTACAAAATTCATACTTTGAAAACTATATAAGATATTGAATTTTGTTAGTAAACAGAAAATTACAAATTGAGGCGTAGTAAAAGAATATGTTGAGCGTCAGTGGCTCAGGAGTTAAGCACTTAACTTGCAATATGCAGGTCTTATGTTCGACTTCCGCCACATACAAATGCATTTTTCGATTTTCTATTTACGTATACATTTATCCGATGTTCTTACGATAAAGGAAAACATCGAGATGAAACCTGCATATATCTTCAAAGATATGTGTGAAGTCAACCAACCCGCACTTGGCCAACGTGGATGGTCTAGTCGAATAGTAGTATAGGCTCTGAGCCAATATTTTTCGATTTATAGTGAGGTGATGATAAAAAAGAATATTAGTAATTTAATTTGAATTGTAACCACTGATAGAAAAAAAATATCATTGAATGATTTCCTACGAAGTTAAATTTCTACATCGACACTTATAGATATATTAGTCTATGTACTTTGCATTGCAGTCTTTCGGTTTGTATGTTTCATTATCATGATAGTGTGAATTTTGCTCTCATATATAAAAAAGAAGGTCCAATGAAACTACAATTTATTTATCACATCACTATCGTTGCAAGAAGAGTTATTCGTATCAAGTCTATTGAATTTTATACAGTTACCTGTGGTATCCTTTTGAAAGCATTTAGTAATAAGTTTTAAAAAAAAACCTTTTATATATATATATATATACCAGATACCAGTATCTGGGCCCACCTGTCGCAAATGAATACCCAGCTAACTACTTAAAGAGCGGCGGTGGCTCAGGGGTAAAGCCTTTGACTTGCAATCTGCAGTTCTTGGGTTCGAATCCTATCTTTTACCAATTTGTTATTCGATTAACATATGTACATTTATCCGGGGTTCTTACCGTGAAGGAAAACATCGTGTGCAACCTGCATATATCTGACAAGAAATTTAAAAATTTGGAAACGAGGTTCAGGCTAAGCGCCATCTGCGCTCGGCCACCTCAAGCCCGGTGAAGCTGTAAATGCCTCTTCAAGGCAAACAGTGACCACTCAGTCACAAAAAAAATAAAAAATTGTGTGAAGTCAACCGACCCGCACAGGTCCTCCGTGGTTGACTAAGGCCTAATCACCCCTTACTTAGGGTAAGCTCGGACCATCCTCAGAGGGGATGTATAATGAACTTATGATGATGATAACCAGTTCACACTTAACATAACGTATTATAATCAATTAATACATTAATCGTATGACATTAACCATTTAAATACGTTAGAGTTACTAAAACATTCTATAAACATATAGTAGATAACTTGGTTCATTTAATTCTATGTATTGTAAAAAAAAACCTATGTAAAGTTAGAAACATACAAATCTAGGGGACCTATACAATTAGGTCGAAGATACTGAAGTATTAGAAATAAAGTAAAACTTAGAAAAAATATATAATTAATAACAATATTTAATCTGTTACTAAAAAGGTTATCGTACAATTAAGTAAATGCCTCAACCAATTCTAAATTACAAAGATAATATGTAAGTTGTAAATCGTTAAAATTAAACGCCATCATCTCAAGTTGTATAATTATCGGAAAATACAAACTCTCGTAAAACTTGTTTAAATCAATTTGCAATATTCGTATGCATATAGGTAAACATTAATTATTTGAACTAATCATAAGATCCTGGATTTATTACAAGTAACATGGATAGATATGAAAGTTCACTTCTACATAACTATTATAAATATTTAAAATTTTAACTTTCATGATTTGAAATTTTTCGGTATAAAAAAATAATCAAACACTGACTGAAATGTTATTCATCTTGGGATAAAAATAAATAGGAATTAAACGGTTTTTTCGTAACAATCGCAAATTAGACAAACATTGTTGCAGCTGATATTTACCGCACAAGACACTTGTTACGAAACCGGTCTTCTCGGAACTATTGTTTACGAAGCTAGCACGAATTTTATAATAAATAATAAGAATATTAAACTTGGTTTAAAAAACGAATCAACATACTTTTATGGAAAATAACAGCAAAGGATTTCTATTCGCATCAAATACTGCTAACTATTAAAAAAAAAACAATAAGCCCATGTGACACAAATTAATGAACAAAGTCGGTGAAATCTATTCGGTTTTTTAATACATTTTATTATTTTACTCGACTAATTGTGCAAAATCATATTACGCCATTTTCCAGTATTGTTGCAAACATATTCAAAAAGCAGATTACGTCTTTATAAAAAAGTTCAACCTTGCTCTTGACCTCACGACAGTAGCACGTTTAATAGAGGAAAGTGAAAACGAGCGATTCTGTACGTCTGTTTACATGAATAAAGTTCCTTTCACACGGAGAAGCCAGACTAGGTGAAGCAATAAAAGTCACCGCACTTGCTTAAGATCAAATCATCACGACATGTTATAAAATAACTTATAACTATAATTTTAACGACGTATTTTCTTTTAGAGCTCACAAGCTATGTAGAGATAGTAAAATTTAGGGTGTCTAAAACCAAAATCGAGGATGTTAGGTTGTGTTAGTTACAGCAATAAGATATGAATCCAAAAGAATATTTAATCAACTTTTCAATTGGTAATACTTTACACGGCAATTTCTAATAAACACAGAATTATACAGTAGACAAATTCAATCACTGAAGTTTTCTATGTTGTTCCGTAGTATCTTCCAAACAAAAGTTGCTTCCTTACTTAACCAACTTATCTTGGTACTTATACACGTTATGCATATGCGCTGACTATGAGTACTACAATTCTAGATTTATGCACAACAATACAAAGTACGACGCAGGGAACAGTAAAATCGTTACGTAATATAATTGTGCACACTGTAAGCGTGTTAAATACGTTCTTCACTAAGTCTGTATAAAGAATTAGAAAATTGAAAACCACTTCAAATAGACATAAATTCCTTTCAATTAGTTATAAATTCAATATATGAACAATTACAAAAAAATGTGATAAATATTACTAATATTATAAATGCGAATATTTGGATAGATGGACGAATGAATGCTTGTTTGTTAGAACGTATCTCCAGATTGACTGCATGGATCTCGCTTAAAGACGTTGAACAAAGCCTGGAAGAACACATAGACTACTAAGTTTTTTAAATAACTCGCGATTGGAGTCGCAGGCGACAGCTAGTATCACATGAAAATAGCTTGGTTGACGTATATTTAAATCTCTAAGTACGACTCAGTTTATAGTTTGGCTGTCTACAAACTTAATTGTTAATTGAACTTGAAAGTGAAATTTTTCAGGCATAAGCCCACGCAACGCTTTCGATGAAACCTTACAAAAAATAATAGAATACTATAAACGTGATTATCACATATTTTTTTACTTAAAACGCAGATGTTTTTAAAATTGATTGTGGCAATACAGGAACTATAGATGCCTCGTTAGAAAATGAGTTTTTGTCTAGGTGCCTGTCGTGTACAAAAAACATAGTTTTAACAAATCCAATGATAGCTTAGCGATACTCATCGCACAGTTAATGTCAAGGTTGATCAAAGTAGATAATATAACAAACACTTCATTATGGGTTTTACGTGTATATATTATTTGGTCATTTGAACTTATATTTATCAAGATGTTAACTTTAAGTTTATCTTTGCTATCTAATGAAAATAATTAATGATAATAATTATTTACAATACATATAACACGGTAAAATGTAAGATCAATAAAAAACGATAGTTCAATTTTCAATTTTTCATTTTTAGTTGAATATTTAAGTATACCATAATATTACAAAACACTTAAAAATAATCACTATCTATTTAAGTCTTTTTTTAATAGAAAAATACAACAGTTTCAGAGTAGTTTAAACTATATATTAATATACAATAAGCCTAACTAACGAACGAAGGATAGTTGACACATTTTATATAAAAGAAATTGCAAGAGTCCATTTTCATATACGTTAAAGAGGACATATGCGGTAGTGTTACGTTATTTTAATAAATCATGGACAAACTTGTCGGAGCTTTTGCAAACATGTGTCATCACGACAACGATATGACGCTTTCAAATGAACCCATTGTGTTTTCACTCACGTACTATTTCTTAATCAGTTCATATAACGACGGTTATGAATTTCTATTATTTAATTAGGGAATAATTGACACATTCGGTCCATACTTTGTTCACGAACAAACAGACAAACGAACACAATCTGTCTTATAATACGACACAATGACCTCAAGTTGAATTAAATGCCGCGGGTTTCTTACCTGCATTTTGTAATATTTGATACGTTTCTTTACCAAACGTATTATAATATAATAATTTTAAATCTATTATAAAAGTATTTAACTTCATTGTAATAGCATAAATTTCTTTGTTTGATAAGTATTTTAATGCAGTACCGGAGCACAATGAAAATAATAAGACGTTTTGATGTCTCTACAGTTATACACCGCTTGAGTGGTTGATCAATAATCTAGAACTTCTTTGTTAGACCCTTAGAACTCTCAGAACTTTGCAAGGATCATTTTTGAAGCTACATTCTTTAAACTGGCTCTTTCTTCTTTTAATTTTCCTCTCAGTAGTGATAGCAACGGATAATACTGATCGTTGTTAAAGTATGTGTAATGACTTTATTTAACCTTTTGTGTTTACAAAATGTATTAATTAATAAGTGTAAATTCATTATCAATGTGTTAATAGAAATTATGCACATAATAATATACCTTAACATAAAGCAATGTGCACATGAAGCCACCGAATGTTTGTTTTGCCTTATTGCATAAGAAAAGTTGAATTAGCACCTCGTATTGTACCTTTAAATGTAATTTAACTTACAATATTACGTAACATTGGTGTTTATGAACTGATTGGTTATATTTAAATTATCAATCTACCTATTTTACGTCTTACTAATATAATAAATGCGAAAGTTTAGATGGATAGATGGATGGATGTTTATTAGAAAGTATCTCCGTAACTTGATAAAATTCGGAACAGATGTAGAACATAATCTGGAGGAAGGTTGCTTATTATTTTTTTTTTAATCCGCGCTGACCAAATCGCTGGTGATAGCAGTACTTTATTAAATTAAAAAGCTAAAGTATTTCCTTTTTATATGTCTCGGATAAGCTGAAGAACTACTACTGCATTCTTATGTCTGCCTGTTTACTAGAGCGAAGTAAGGGCGAATTGCTAGTATTGTATGTACTAGGTTTGTCTGTGGAGTGAAGTGCTGAGCGCGTCACCTCCGACCCATCCTCACATGATGTCAGTCTGCAAGTAATGCCGGAGATCATATAAAATGAACGATTCACCACCACTCGTCACTCATTCGTCAGTTTGAACTCAACACGGATAACCGAGCAATATGCTTAAATACGTAAGTTGCTTTTTAACTATTTAATTATTCATACTTTTTAAATGCTATATCTAATATTATTTAGGTACTTTTTTGCCAAGCTGAATTTGATTATCGACCAAACAGAATGTTATTAAAATAATTGTTTTTATGAAAATAAATTTGTATGTCATAATTATTAAATTATCCAAATGTTAGTTCGTAAAGCTTTCAGAAGTAAATATTTTGATTGTAATACTCTAAAAAATCATAAGCTTTTAACACGTAAATTTTTACAAAAGATGAAACGTTTTTTTAATGACCTTTTATGGTAATGAATTATGAATTTTCTTTATAGTATTAAATATTCCGTGGTTTTATTTACCAGGTGACAATTGTGTGTGTGTTGGCCGCGCTGTGCTCTGCGGCGCCACAGCAGGACGTGCAAATCCTGCGGTTCGACAACGACGTTAATGTGGACGGATACAGTTTTGCGTTAGTACATTTTTATATAATTTTATTGATACCGTTAATTAGTGCAATTGAACAAATTAAATTTTTTATCATGTAAAAATAAAATTATTACAGAAATATGTTACACTGATAAAAATATATATAAAAAGTCATTTTACGCCAATTTAAGGTCAGATTATAATTTTGATTAGTTTAATTGCCAATTTAAACATATATTTATCTATTGGCTGCATTTAAGTTTAAACGATTATTACTATTTGACGCAATCTAGTAACAAATGAAAAACAACCTATTTTTATTGTACTATTAACAACATACTTTTTTTAATTAGATACGAAACCAGCGATGGTACATCAAGACAGGAAGAAGGTAAACTTGACAATCCTCAATCTGAAAACGCCGCCCTTACTGTTACCGGTCAATATGCTTTCGTTGCACCCGACGGCAAGCACTACACTGTCACATTCACCGCAGGACCCAACGGCTACCAACCCAAGACATCACTAGGACAAAAGAAATAGAAACTTCGGCACTAAAATCCAATTGTATATATCAATTTAATTATCAATCAAAAAGTTAATGCTAAATTTTCGATTGCAGTAACACTTGTGACACATATAGTCATCTCTCATATTCTCTTTGAAAAAACGGAGATAGCAGTATGTGTCAATACAAATGTAACAGCAGTCGAACCCCCACAGATGAAATAACTCAAAGAAAGCTCTCGATCTCAGTTATTTCTTAATAACATTGAGCACATTATCGGAGTTCTAACATCTAAATTGTGCCATAAGACACGTTTTTATACTTTTATATCTATGCCTTATAAATAAAAAATTTAATTAAATATTGTTTTATTTTTATTTTTATAATTTTAAGACAAACTAGATACATCAAATCCTTGTCCAAGTGTAAAGTCAGTTTACACTAATATAGGTTTCAGGACACCCCCAGGATATCCCTCAGATTATTCTAGAAAGCCATATCTATAATTACGATTGCAGCAAGGAGGAAGCAAACGAATCTATGTCTGCTATGTATATCTTTAAATATCACGATTTACATAAATACAAAGAACAAAAGGCATTTAATAATTCATCGTCATATTTCAATTTTGATAAAATGCAAATATTTGATTATTAATCGTAAAAACTTTGGCCATATCAGAAATTGTATAATACAACTGCGTTTTATGTATTGAAAACAAATCACGTAACAAATATTTTATCGCTACATCAACTGTGCTGTCGTAAATATATTGCACATTTGTTTGGCACGAACTTGCATTTTCTAGATGCAATTTTAAATCCAAAACGAATATTATAACTTGAAATCTAGTACCTCAGGTCAAGGTCTATTATAATGTATTTAATGTTTTTCTTTATAAAAACATTCAAACAACAGACGTTATTGCAATCTACAATATTTAAATTGAGATAAACAGTTGTTTCTTTCTAAGATGACACGAAGAAATAATGCTAGTGACAAATATCAACATTAATTAACATTAATCAACAATAGCGATCGATTGAAAGGAAACAAATGAAAACATCGTCGCGTTGGTAATAAGTATTACATCTTCAATTTTAGAGCAACGAGGCATATACGAAGCACTAGCGATTGTAATCACGATGTTTAATGATGAAATGTCATAATGCAAGAAGAATACAAAAACGGCATCTAAAAGCGATTAGCATCTTATAACGAACCTTGTTAATACCTCACCTTTGTATCACATCATAAGGTTAATGGATGTCAGAGGTACAAAACAGTTATATTAATCTTTGGACTTTACTAAATATTTGTGTTTACTAGCTGTTCGTGTAAAGCATCGCCAGGGTACTGTGTGTTTGCACACTGTACTTTTTGCATGTTATGATCTAAAATTTTAAGATAATTCTATCAGAATTTTCCGAAATAGCGAAGTGACTACTGTCCATAGACATCTGCAATTCTAGATGTGTTGTCTATCTTAAATCAATGAAGTAGGGGACTAACGAACGCATAGGACTAGTATATTTCCGATACTCGTTTCATTTCCCTTACTAGGCTTGACTTTTTGTTCCTCTTTAAAGTTAGTATGTTAGCTCTTAACATACATATACGCTATATTCTCGCTATAGAAATTATCAGAACTATTAACTTTTTTTACGATTATCCAAGATTTATAATTAGGCCGTTTTTAAGATCATCTCCCTGGCCTTATCCCAATCACGTGTGGCCAAGCTTTTATAACAAAAGTGCTAAACAATTCCTTAGCGGTTACTTAAATGGTTAATCAATTCCATTCACACAGCCAGAGAAATAATGTTGATTTAACGATTGAAGAAATATGGGAAGACATCAAAAGGTTAGTAGACATTAAAGTTACGGTCGCATCGATGGCGAAATTAAACAGTCGCATTTGATGCGCACACTAACTTTTCCTCACTAGTGTTGCCATGCTACATAAAACTATTCATAAACATTGTGTCCTATAATATATCTACATTTATATATATCTACTTTTTTCCTTAAAAAAACCACTACCAACATACAGACGCCTGTAGCCAGAAGTCGTAAATTAAAAGAATGATATTCTTCTAATGAGTACTACTACTAAAAGAAAAAGAGTTCTAATACATTTTGCCAATTTAATACACTTTTTATTTTAGTGATACTGCGCGGACGGAGTCACGGACAAAAGCTATTTTTAAAATAGCCAAAGAATTTTTCCATGAACCTTAACTAGGTTTCTTATCAATTTAAGTATATTAAGGCTGAAATGTATTCAGCAATAAAATTATTATATTATAAAAAGCCGAAAGTTATATTACCATTTAATTCATATTATATCTTAGTGAATCATTTGCATGTCTTCAATAATAAATCTTCATCACTACGTATTTAGTAGTTTAGTTCTTTATTAATCCCTATCCCTATTTTTGTTTCATGGTACTACTACAAAACACCCACACCGCTCATTAAAACCATTTACACTCTAGGTGTAATGCATTGGACTAAGAAATTTCACAGTGCAAATGTTGTCGGCGCGTTTCGCAAAGCAAAATGCCAACACATACATGTGGCGTACTCAACGTATGTAAGAGTTACGTTTGAATACGATCGGCTTACCTATTCAAACTTTAACCTTCACGATGCTAAATTGTTCTATTGTTGAATTGTAATTTATCATTCCATGAGGCTTTTCAATAGTACTTTTTGACTCATTAGAGAATCTTAATTACAAATTATGTGTGTCACATAACGGGACTAATTTCCTGTCGGTTGATTTTTTTATATGATTAAAATGGATTCCCAAGTATGTTGATAGCGCTCATAGGCATTAGTGGACTCACCTCTGGCTTCTGGGGGTATATACAGTCGTGTAAAGCCGTTGATCAACTTATGCAATGTTTTTCTTGTTAAAGCGCCTGTAATAAAAAGTGGAGAATTTTAACAGTGACATAAACTTCTGAATCCAATCAGGCATTTACAAATAATTCGTTTTTGTTTGCCTTAACCAATCTAAACCAATCACTCATAATGAAAAGTATCACGATTCATTAAAAATAATCGTTATAATAAGAGCAATATAAAATATAATATACTTATGTCTGTATAACTAATCGGATTAACTTTACGATGCCACCATTGAAACAAAGCAATTTGTATGTACATACTAGGTACTAGATAATTACCAAGGCTATTGTGACATATAAATAATTACAGTGTACAGAAAGTAGATTAATAAAGTCAGTCGTTATATGCATTTATAAGTTGTCGTTTTATTTCTGTAGTCTCCCGATACTACAGCTATAACACCTATTAAAAATAATTTGCAATATACATTTCTAGCAATTTGCTGTCCCATTTTACTAGTGATTTATGGACTTATAACATTAACATTTTATTTGTAAAACAGAATTTAAAATTAAATCAATGAATTATAATGTGCAGCTATAAATTTTCTGCTTTTTACTAAAAAAAAAGATGTATAATCCCTTGGTCATCGTGACATCATTACGTGATATTAAATACTTAAAAAATAGCAAATTTACATTTAAACATTTATGCTATATGGTTTATGCTATTTAAGATAGAAAGGTACAAGAGCCGTTATATTATGTTACCTAGAATCTTGAACTCGTAATAAACAACTAATATAAATACAAAGATGACATTTAAATACAATAAACATTTCAGTTTATAAAATATTCGATTAATAACGTAAGAACGTGATGACATCGAGTATTCGTGACCGACTCCTAGTTCCTGCACCATACGTATCCATACCTTTGTCGATTAACACGACATAACAAATTAAATAAATCATACTATGAGTACGCATCATGTCAATGTTTATTTATACCGTTCCGATATCTATCGTATCTTAACTGTATCTACTCGTACATCAAGTCCTTGGCAAAAGGATCTAACACATTACTTATATGTTAAACATACTGTTTGTAAGGTAGAAGTTAATGATATTTTTGATTTTAAAAAACTATTTTTAAATTATCATTGCTAGTACCCGTTAAGATGTTAAGTAAATTTTATTGATATTTCCAGCTTTTATACTTATGTTCTTAAAAAAATGTAGTATAAAATTTTGATATAACTATTGCTAGAAAAATTATATTTAAGCATTTAAACTAATTATTTATAATACTTAAATGACCTTTCACAGTTTAAAATCTATATAACTTTGAAGCTTTTGATAAACTATTTTTATCTCGTCAAACTGTGTTCCAAATGGGCGATACCTTGTACATTTATTACAAAAAAAATAAGTTCTTTAAAAATAAATGAATCATAAATTAAAAATTATTACATATTATGTAGTAATTCTAAATTAGCATATTAGACGTAAATATCAACATAAAAGTTTTATGGGCACATTAATTAATATATTGTTAGTTTATTGTTTTTAAATAAGACAATGATTATTTAACTATGATAACTATAAAAGCACAATGTAGCCAATAAATTTAGTCATTAAAATAGCATGTGGTAGATCCATAAGCAATTATTTAACTACAAAGATATTTTAATAGTAGCTCTTTGTTAGCATGGTCGATACAGCTTCCATTTAAAATTAAATAAATGTAAATTTATTAACACATAACAGTTGTATTAGTGACAAACTGATGATACAAATTTTAATTAAGTAGTCAATATTAAGCTCTATAGGTCACTTAAGTGTTTGACTATTCATCTTTTTCTTTTTCCATGGATTTAAATTTCTTCGACTGCTTTGTCCTGCTCAAGAAATTTTATAGGCTATAAGGAATATTTAAATAAATAAAAACAGTTTGTTTTAAAACAAATTAACAATTTGTTTTTGGATAAATGCAACGGTCACTCCGTATAAGTTCGAATATCGACCTCGATTGTCGTGGTAATTGTTGAACAAACTTACAACACTTTACAATGACCTTTGTCAATTCGTTAGTGTACATCATTAGATTGAATTGCCAAGAACAGCCGACGGTCAGAAATCAGTACATCTAATAAAAATAACTATATTTATTTCCGTGATTGCCTAAAAATACTTTACCTATTATTATTTTCCATTTGTAAAATAGCAACAATGTTTAGATTTACTTATTTCCTGTTTTTGATGCAATCAGTTGATAACTTAGGTACTAGATAAGAGGAGGCGCTGTCTCCCAAAACACAGTTTTAACTAGTCCAGGAAACAGAGCCACATCAATTTTGTGAAACATGTTTTTTTTGTTCAATAAAGCATTTTTAATTTAATATAATTTAAACACACTAGAATATAAATATTAACACACGAGTGATTTGAATTGCCAGTAATATTAAATAGCTAACTATAGGTACTTAAACGTTGTCAAAACACTTTAAATCGCATATGCGTAACTAAATTACCAAATAGCATGAAGTATTAAGTATTGAGTCCATTTGTAAGTTAAAATTAAGTCGCATTTTTGGTGTGTTTTATAAATGTTCAAATCTATAAAGCTACACAATATTCTTCAAACTATTTTTCCACGTCAAATTCAAGCTATTTTAAATTAAATACGACACGTTATCTTGCTTTATTATATGTAACTACATTATGAAGATGGTTAATTAAACTAATGCTGCAACGGTACTTTTTCACATGGAAAAGACATCAACGCGTCAAAAAAGTAAGTCATTTCATTTACTCATTAAAATAATATGAATATTATTATTATATGAAGTTATAATTCTATGTCAATTTCATTGGTGGAAATAGGAAATAAAATATACTTCGATTAAACCATAACATATCGTACTTAATACTTCCACAAGTCAGTGTAACATCCTTTTGTTGTATTGAATTATGACATGATACCATATAGAACAAACTAACAATGAATTCATAAAATTAAGTAATTGAGGATGTACACAATATGTTAGATACTAAACACAATATCATAGATTTAACAATCAAAGTACAGTGTTTCTCGGAGGCAACGCATACATTATATTGTCGGGAGAGTCATTTTTTTTCGATACAAGCAGTTGCCCGCGACTTCGTGTTAAAAAATATTCTAGTTATAAATATATATATAGACACCCGGGATACTGTAACTTCCCAACAGTGAATATTTTTTTCAAAACGGTTCAGCAGTTTCGAAGCCCATTTATTTAAATATGCTATTTATGTAATTAAACTTAATCCAGTTACCGTAATATCTTACACGAATATGAAAATTTATATAATATGACCGGAAAAGAACACAAGAATTTGCTATTGTAAATATTTTTGTTTTGTATTTGTTCAGTTAGTGCATCTTTTGAGTAATAAATAAATAACACTTCTTCTTAAGTTGTCTATGAAGTCATGTTTTGGACGTATTAATAAATTAAGCGAGGCGAAGAATCCGCGCAGTCTCGTGCGAACTCTTGCGCAACAGGCCGCGCCACGCCTTCCATGCCCGCGGATAATTGACAAGGTAATATTAACTGCTGTTTTTATTTCTTATAGAATGTAATAAATGTACTACAAACAATGTAAAGTTCAATTTCTATAGTTTCTATTAGTTTTTTCTTTTGTGTTTTTTTTTCTTATTTTTTACATTTTCCAGTAAGAAAAAATCATATTTAATATGAAAATAAAAACTATTCTTGAAGTCGAAGAAGTCGTGAAATAATTAAATAAGTAAACTATTACGTATTGTGGTTACGACGTTATTATTCGCACAATGCTAATTATTATAACGTGTAAAGCGGCCGTGCGTCTGTCTGTCCAAACGCAATACATCATAGAAGCGAACTGATTCAAGTGATTTTCGATAATAAATACTAGCTGTTGCCTGCAACTCTATTCTCATTTATAATATTAGTAAAATAGTGACATGGTTTGATATTTTGACCCGAATAAACTGCAAAACTAGCAAACCACTCTTATTCACACCCTATTCAGATAACGATAATTTAATCTTGAAATTGAAAAACAGAATAGATTTTATCCTGGATGTATACTATTGACTCATGTTATTACACGACATTGTTTGATAATCGACTCAGACATGAAGATAACAAGGGATGAAGTATGTTACCCGAGAAAAAATCGGGATTGCTTTTAGAACCATAAATATATTTGCTAATCTGACCAATGATTACGGAATGAATACAAATTCAACAATTTCATATTGTATTGCATTGACGTATATGCAAAGAGATTTTTTTGTAACTCTAGCATCGTTTGCAAATTTTCTTGAATACAAATTAAATGAAAACGACAGTGTTTACTTTGATTATTTTTAAAATTGTTTAAAATGATTGTTATGGTAAATTAGGAAAATCAATTCCACTATGGTATGAATATTTTGGTCAGTACAACAAAATGTCAAAACAACAACAGTAAATATAAATGATAAAGACCTATTTTACGTGGTAAAAAAAGAAAAACAACTTTAAGTTAAATCGTAAATTCTATATATTTTTTATCTCAGTATCTTAAATAAATAAGAATTGAAGAATAACAATGATATAATATTGATAAGATCTTAACAAATTGTTTCCAAATAACTTAAGTCAAATCCGGTTGTCGTCAGTACCCATATTTAAACTCAATCGTTTATTGACTTTTAATTGCCATCTCATAATCCCGTATCAAAATCGTGTTATGGCTATTAGTAATTAAGGTTTAAAACATGATATTTTTCAAATTTATACATTTTTATATAAAGCTTACTTAAATATTATCGAAAATTTTATTGTAACATTGTACCACTAAGATTTTAATTAAGTAAAGACGAATCAACAAAACAGAAGTATTAATATCCACAATTTATTTTCAGATGCTCAGTCGAAGATACATTATATTACTTTGTGTAACATTATGCGTGCTTCAAGTAAAAAGTGCTGATAAATACACAGACGAAAATAGACCGTATGAGTTCGGATTTACCATTGACGGAGAGCAACATAGACATGAAAAGAAAGGTAGGTTCAACAATCTACGGTTTACCGGTTCACTACTATATAATTTAGGTATTTTACTACGGAAACATCTAAATATTAACATATGCAACTTGGGATGTTTCATAAAGATTTGCGTATTTCGGTGGTAGCAATCACATATAATACTAAAAAACATTATAAAAATATCAAAGTAATAAACCATAAAGAAATTAAACGTTAATTCAAAGAATTTGTGTTTCATGTCTACTTTGTTTTAAACTTATAAATAGACTGACAGTCCTAAGTATCTGTATATTAGTTCTTTAAAATTATTTTATTGTTAGTTTTATTTCATTATTCATCACTCCAACCACAGACGACACAATTATTATTTTGTCCAAAAAATAGTCGACAGAGAGTACGCACGATTGCTAGGACCAGGTCGGGATAATGAACAAGTCACGTTCTGAATATTGATATAAAACATCAAATCATCACAAGTTTTATACTCTACTCAAATTCTTTAATTTCACAGTTGTTTTAAAAATATCAGACTGTATTAAAATATTAAAGGTCGTTAAACACACAATTTGAGAGATTTCTTTATGCAAAACCTCGATATTCATTCAAAGATAAGGATTGTTTTATTATATAAACCAAACCATATCACCGAAATTAATATGCTTTATTATAGTAAATAATGTCCTCTTAATTTAATGTATTTCCTAATAATAATCTGCGAAAACTGAATAGTTCAAACAAATCAATACTAAAATTTAAACAAGCATTGACATCATCGAATAATTATAAAAATGTGCTTGACGTTCGACAAATAATGGCGAGTTTCATGAGAGGAGTTTAAAAAATATTTTAATTGACTATACAAATATAAGCGTCGACTTGCATCACGATTAGAATCATGATTTGCTTCCGCATAAAGTATACATATAGTTACAAACAGAATGTTATAAAAGTTTTGATTTTTGTATCTTAGAGTAATAATACTCATTAGCATATTTCAACATCTTTTTAAATGTTGTCTAAAGTACGTAATTTTTTCTTACAGATGAAAATGGGATCATCATGGGCGAATTTGGTTTCATCACCGCAGATGGCGTATATCACGTGACAGTCTACGCAACTGACGAAAACGGAAACTTTAAAATTTTATCGATGAAAAATATTCGAGTAAAGCCATGTACGTTACATTATATTTACTTTTAACAAACAAAACCTAAAAACAATAATTTTTTACTGAAATCAGTATATATGTATTTTTTTTGTCTCCTGGAAATCGCATTTAGTTTTTTCCCCGCGGCAATTTTTTCTTTTAATACTGCGATACAAATTAATTTGTCTTTCATTAATTTACAGACCCTACCGCCAAATCTGGTCCTGAACGAGGGCGATCTCTTGAATACCCATCATCACCTCAAATATCTTCAAAACCTTCAGTGCATGAACAAAACAAAAAGCAACTCAAAGAACTGCCGAAACCTGGTCCTGCTTCACCTGCTAAATCTTGTTCACATTGCAAACTTCCTACTACTACCACCACCACTACAGAAGCTCCATACATACCTAGTAATAATAAACTGCCGGTACCTGCAATTTCACAAGATATAGAAATACCACCTAAGTATAACCAACACGATGATGTCAGTGCACAAGGCTATCTAAAACAAGATAAACAATCACAACAACAACAACAAGTGAAACAAATAGAACAAGAACAACAAGAACAAAGGAAAGAACAACAACTACGACAAGAACAACAACGACAACAGCAGCAACTGCAACAAGGACAACAACAATATCTACAGCAGCAGCAACAACAACAACAACTGCAAGGGCAGCAAAGTCTGCAACCACAAGGCCCGCACCCGGGACAACAAGAAGAACAAAGGCAGCAGCAAAATGAAGAAGGACAGCAACTAGTAGGTCTACTACAACAAAGAAAGCAAGAACAACAGCAGGAACAGTTTAATAATGCACAAAATTATCCAGCACAGGCAATTGAATTACCACAGAGTATTGCAACAATTAATGAACCGAACTATCCACAACAGAGTTACACTAAAGAAGAGTTGCAAAGAGAATATCAAAAACAGCAGCAACAACAAGAACAACACCAACAACGGGACTCAAATGAATTCCCTCGTGAACAAAGTAAAGCTCCCTATACTATCGGATCACCACTGAACTATCCCCAACAAAGCCAAAGCGCCAATGATAACTATCAACAGCCAAGTTACACTCAAGCTGGTATACAAAACAGCCCTAACTATGAAACAGGTACTAGCCAAAGTCATACAAATCTTGGAGACAAGGACGAATCTAACTATCCTGGAAGTAATATTTTACAAACTCAGTCAACAGCCAGCGATAATCAAGGTCCAATGTTGCCATTGGTAACAAATCGTAACCCAAAATCTTACGATGAGCAATTAAATAAAGGTTTTAATGCGTTAAGTTCCCCTGCTAACGCATTTGTTCCTCAGGGGAATTCCCCACCGAAAAAGCCGCAACTAATATCAGCTCAAATGCAAATAGTTGACAAAAATACTGACATTCATTACAAGCGTCCCGGAGAAAAGGAAGGCCTACCCGAAGGTCTGACTAAAAATGACATGTCTCAACTTTTGTACACGTTCAATTACACTGTAGGCTTCCACGGGCACTTTGAAGAAGGTTACAAAAATGGTGCCAAAGTTGGCTACTATTATGTCACTGGAAGGAACGGAGTTCGCACGAGAGTTGATTATGTTGCCGACGAAAAGGGATTCAGACCTAAAATTACCCAAGAAGTTCTTGATTTACTGTCGGACGATGTACCTAAACCAGATACGGAAAAAGATTTAAAATACGGACTTAAAGGCTATGAATTTAAATGGCTTTATTATCCAGTAGATACAAAATAACTTTAAATAACACTTAGGTAAAGTCATCGTTGGATTAGAAGAAACTAGTGGTATATTTAATGGTTTGTATATAAAAGTAATTTTTAACTAATGCGACGGAAATCTTACTGAATAAGACTGAATATATGACGAGATGAATAAATATGTTATGATTTAAATCAATTCATTGGATTCAGTTCAATAATTTTTACGTCGTTATTCTAAAACCAAGTCAGTTTAAATTAATACCAAAAATGTTTAAAATATTATTAGTTTACATTTAATTATATGTTAACGGTATTCGTTCATAACCCTCCTAAAATTATTTGTATATAAACGCTCACTGCCCTAAATACTGCCAATTAAATTGAATTCATCGCTTAATTTTAAATTAGTAATTTAAAATAATTATGTAATTATGTAAATGTGTTATTAATAAAGTTGTTTACATGTTACATTGTTTTTGAATTCCACTATATTAAATGTAAATTTACAAATGTAATCAAAGTGTTGTTGAAAACTCAATATTTTTCAAGAATTTAAGCCGGGTTTTAGTGATTTGCTGACTCGATCATTTAAGCGCCTACAGTTTGTTATACAGCAATTTTTTATAAACTAAAAATTGTTTATTTTTAGATGAAGAAAGAACTTCTAAACTCAACAACAATCCATAATAATCTCATTAGGACATGAGATAGTTAGATGAGTCTTATGTTTTATTTCACTTTTAATACACTTAATATGTTTATTTTTGTAACATTCTTGGAAATTCCTTCGCCTAAATTTTATCGAATCGTGTGAAAAGTGATTTAAATACTTATATGACCTAACATGTTCCTTTTTTTTTAGGTATATGAGTTAGTGTTACATATCACAACAGAATTTCAATAACTTTTTACTGGAGAGAATATCACAACAAGAAGTTGATCCTCGTTCGTTTGTGCTAATGGTATCTCATAATGACTTTTTATTGTTATGACTCGGAGAATATTTTCTGGGAAGGGCCATGTTGTTAAAATTTTCGGAAAGAGTATTATTTAGGTCATTAAAGTACCTAAAATTGCGTTTGGTTTTTAAATAGACACAATTAAGCAATAAAAAGTTTGCAAACTACAAGCTATAAGTACAACAGAACCGAGATAAATTAAATAGTAAGTACCTAATTGTATTTGTATGAAACCAAATTGTGAATGAATGTGTGCAATCAAATTTCGATACACTATCTTTGCGCGTTTTGGCGGGAAACTGTTCGAGCAGTTACAACAGGGCCGGCGCGTGCGCAACACGCGTTCGAATTTTAAAACCGATGCGATCGCGAACGCGACTCCGTTTTGTCTTCTAATCTCTTTTGTTCCGACAATTTGTTTAAATGGAAGTATTGGGGACACTTCTAGTTTACCATTGTGACTATACCACATAACATGCTTTTAAAGTTCCTTTGTTGAAGCATAATATAAGGTTTAGTTCTACTTTCGTAAAATTTAAATAACACTGTGAGTAAAAATTTAATAGAAAGAAAATAATCTCATCGTGATATTGGACTGATAAGACCGAAGAAGTAGAAGGTAATTGTTTTAATAAATTTAAAACCTAATTAATATACATTAAAAACTAATTAATGTAATTAAAATGTTAATAGCACTTTAATAGATTCAATGAAGTACTAAACAATATTGTTCTACAATTTAAATAACTACAAAATAAAATAATGCTTATACATATCCGATCTAACAACAATATTCTTAGACATAAGATTTAAACACCGAAAATATATATATTTATATATTTAATAATAACTATAACAATTAAAAGAGATTTAAACATATGATTAGTTAATTTCATATGGCAATTACTTTTTTTTCTGTTTAAATTTCCGCGCAAGTTACGGCAAGCAAAAGTTACGGTTTTCTTAATAATCTTACAAGCCTCTTACAAACGAAGAATTGGACTCTTAAATTAATTTATCAAAACTACGTCCGAATTGTACATTATTCACATTCAATCTCAATACATTCTTGTTTAGATGTCAAATCCTCTTTCATCCTAAAATTTGGTGGCCCAATACTCAAATTCATACAATACGACAGGTCTAACGTCAATATTCTAAGAAATATTTTATTGTTGTTCAAGGTTAAAGAAGATCGTATTAACAATTTATTTAAATTTCGTAAACGGCCAAAAGAAAACAAGTATCAGATCGCCCGTCAGCAAAATTTATTTTCTTTTTTTATTGACTTCTTAATGAAGTGTTTTTTTCACTACAAACTCAGATAAGGACAAGAATTGGTCACCTAAAACGTATTATTTTATTATAGAAATTAGGACGTTTAGATATTTCTTAGGTTGTTAATTATTTATTTGACGTAAATGTAATTTATTGGGTTATAAACATTTGGTTTATACTCTGCAATACTCGTATACCTAAAAATTATAGTATACAAAACATTGGAGCTATTGGACTTCAGTAAAAAAATATTTAAATAGAGTTTTCGATTTTTAAACAACATTATAAAATTAGTCGAATATTTGGTAGCGTATATTAGGTAGGTAGTAAAATTTAATTATGCAAATACTACAGAAAGCAACATACATAATTATTCATACGTGCCTATTTTATGGTAAATTTAGGATTTACTGACAAGATGTTAGTCACGCAGACTTCACAGTAATTATATAGTGGTACAATATTACGTACTTACAAAGTTAAAATGCAAATTCAAACTGTCCTTCCTAAATACGTAATGGATGTAGCCAGATGACATAGCGTGAGACATGCAGTAACTTCTCACATCACTGACTCTCTCAAAAAAACTTAGCCGGGTCAGGGAATGTGTGTCACGATAAACAATTTTCCATCTTAATTTTCTAATTAATATTGAGTTATATATATAAATGGAAGTTTGTTTGTTAAAAGGTATTTCCAGAAAGGCTGCATGGATCTAGATGATTTTTTTTTTTAATTTCGTATCGCGAGCGACAGCTAGTTCTTCATAATACTAACAATAACTATAACAATTGTAGCATAACTTCGGCTAAGTTAAATAATAAATTCCATTTTTAATTCTTCTAATATTCAACGTTCTATTGTAATAATATAAAATTTAAATTAAGTAAAATGTTCGAACATAATTTACGAATAATTGTGTTAATCTGATATTATTTAATTGGAAAACGATATCCTTTGATATTAAAAATAAATAGTTGTGAAGAATTTCCAATTCGAATTAGCATTTTGTTGTGTCAGAAGAATAAAATTTATTCAAATATCGAACATACAAAGAACGAGGTTGCATTTTTGCTATATAATTTTATCTTTCCACCTTGACAGTTGTAAAATCTCCGAGACATCAACATAATTTCTCACTTTATTAAGATACATTTATTATATATTTGCTCATAACTTTGTCTATGTTACCTATGTGGTAATAAAACAGGATCATAAATTTCAAAATAGATACTTTTGAAATAAGAAAACAATCTGAATTTTTATATGACATTCCGTGTAGTATTTTTTTTATTAAGAAAAAAGAGATTACTGATTATTAACTTCATGATTTAATGGTTACACAAAAAAAATGTCTTTCACGTTCGTTAATAATAATAATTCGTTCCCATGCAACCAAGCCAAAAAAGACCATATAATAAAATGGAATATTCATTTTATTATATTTTATTTCAAATTTTATTTCCATAACAGTTTATGTAAAGGCAAATCTTGCAAGATAATCTGATTTTCCCTAAACAATATTTATATCGCAAAATCACTGTTTTACTGGATTTTTGCTCATCTTTTTTTTAAATTGGTCATCACGGCTTTGGGATATTATTAAAACGGTCGAAGAGATTTTTTTTTTATTTTATTTGATATTAAACAGTAGGATGCGAAATGTACCACCAAGGATGTCATTAAGCTGCCGCTTTTATTAGATCAAAGCCAACATGCCATTTTATTTTCTCATCTTAAATTTTTACGATTACTTTGTGAGTATATTTATATATGCGTTATTTATTGCAAAATAATTTATAAAAATTGCTAAACCCCATTTTATACCATAAAAATTAATATTTAATCACGGGTAACTTAAGTATCTTGAATAAATGTAGAGAGTAATAAAATAAAGACAACATTAGAGAATAGAAATCGGACAGCTAAAAAAATGTTTAAAAATTATTATACATTAATAAGAAAAGCAGCTGTATTTTATTTCATTTAGAAGTAGAAATTATAAAATGAATATGATCGTGCAAATGATCGCGTGCTAGCTGTCAGCTACGCCACTGAGCACGCTACCCGATAGCCGTTTCATGTCCGTTCGGAAGTTAACTTTTTCACTGATTCATTGTCTAATACATGAGGTAACAGGTAATTGCACACCTCTTTTATATACTCATAAAGATAATATATAATATTGAAAAGGAACGGATGTGTATATAAATCAAGCAATCCAGTGTAAAAATGTTCGTGAACATTAAATCAAATTGCAAAGGAGTAAAATATATAAAAAAAACAATGTAAATGTAATTCATTGATAATCACAAACCCATTAAAATTAAAATATAATAGATGTATTATACATAACTAGAGTTGTTAGCATGTTAACATAATTTTTGCAATAAAATCAGTCTGACAATTATAGTTCTTCAAATTATATAATAATTCAAACTGCGAATAACTTTACCAATTTCTTTATATTTATTACAAACTTATTTGTATATAATCTGTCTAAATATGTTAATTTAATACAAGTATGAAAATTGTAACATTGAAAATGAATATATTATGATTCTTAATAGTAAAAGTTCAACGGAACCATTATATTTAAAAGGCAAAACGAGATCATTGTATTATTAGAGCTCGGTCAACGTCCGCTACACTTCCGAAATAAGAACATACACAATTGATTTTACATAATTATTCAATTCCAAACAATTTTCCACGTTCAACTTTAATAGTAAAATCACCAAATAAACGAACTCATTAACATTTTTATTTGAATAAGCGAACGTTTGGCTCTATTTATCTGTGATTTATGATACATTCCATTTTATGACTCACGTCAACATAATATATTTGTTATATATTATTTGTAGCGATGACAATATATTCTAAGGAACACGACCTATCAAGAAAATATAAAATACTTGATGTTCCGCGACTCAGTCCGTACACAAAATATTAAAAAAACTTAATTAGTAAACTGTATTCTTTCAGACTATGTTGCATATCTGTGCAAAATTACAGTACGATCCATTGAACAATTCTGGAGATACCTTTTAACAAACATCCATCTATCCAACTAAACTTTTGTATTTATTGTTAGTTAAATTTCTATGTTTATAAATGCTGCTATATGCTGATGAGACTGCTTATCAATCTTTGCAAATAATGTTCATAAAAAACATACCTAGAAGAGCATGTCTCAATCTTTTGTACTACAATGTCCAGTTACAAAATCAATAAAAGTTCATTGTTTTATATCTGATAATATCAAGGTGACTTATTTAGATCATACGAGCAACTTGCTACGAGTAGGTGGACTACACAATGTGATTTACATATTAAGCGTCCATCAGGAATGTGAGATGTTATCTCTTTTTTTGCTCTATACATTGTAATTGTTCTCTTTAAAACAATTCTGTGTAGCAAAGTGTGGAGTAAACTTTTTTATCAACGAAATTTTATGACTTCGCTATATAGAAAATCAGGGGTCATGTATTTCAAAAACCTTATAAGTCGATTATTAAGCTGGTTTAAAATACGTAATTAATATAACTTAAAATGAATTTATAAATAAATATTGATGCATTATTAAAATCATGCAAAGATACACAAACACCTTAATTTAAACATAACTTATCATCATTTAAGATGTCAAATTTGTATAAAGTAACATAATCGTTATATAACTTTTCAATAACTATGTAAATCTATTCAAAACATTTTGTTATTGCAGTTTTATCAAAAAGAATGAAAGGGATAGAATATGTTTTATACAAGTTTATCGACAGTGGAAACATTGTAAGGTTATTGACATAATTACGATATTGTGCGATGTTAGTCTTGTGGTATACTTATGAAACCGCATTCGCCACCGCACGATCGACTTACCATCCGCGTTTCTTACATTATTTACAAACGTGGTCGAAATGCTTTTAACGATGCAATATAATTGCACTGACGTTTGCCATCTTAACAACACTTTCACTTTAAGTGTTAAATGAACTTATACAATTAATATGAAATTAAAAGTAAACACATGAGACCATAAAAGAAAAATTTAAAAACTATAACACAGACTGCAAGTATTTTATACAATATTCCAGTGTCATTTCTGCAGTTCTGGAGTTACGTGGTTACATTCATACATCCATGCATCCATTCGAATTTAATAACGTAGTAGACATATAAATGCGGTATAAATTGTAAGTTCTATGTGCACTTGTACATTTTATAACGCATACATTCAAAATAATTACAACAAACTCGTTCGTTACTTCCTAGAACATTAAGAAATTCTCTTTCCCAAGAGCCAGTCGGTGGTTTAGTTCCAAATAACATGCATACCAGAAAGGGTAATGCAACGAGTTACATTATCATCTGGATCTCACATTTCAATAACAGTTGTCAGTCGTGGCCGAGCAATACTTGCGGCTTGTTCCAACTCAGCATGTCATTGATATGCATGACGCATTAATATTTTCACTATCGTTCAATGTCCCATTGTTTGCGACACTTTCTATAAATAAACATTGCCAATTTTTTGCATGAACACTATAAGTTGCATAAAAACAACCTTCAAGACGATTTTGTTGTGTTGAAGTTATATAAAATAAGTACTCAACATCTAATAGTAAAGAAAAAAGAAATTTTAAAAAAGACTCTTTTCTGTAGTATAAATGATCACACTAATTGTGGGTGTTTGGGGCCTAAAGGATAAATGTATGTTTTATATTGAAATTTTGGTCTCAGAAACCAACAGTAAGTTTTACTATGACAAAGACCTTTAAGCGTAGCCATAAGCCACACGTTTACTATGTTCTACACCTACCTGTAACCTTGTCGAAACTAGAGCACCGTACGTTACTACTCTACTAGTATGTTACAACATCTTCATGCACAATTTTCGCCACCTTCCGAAGAGCTAACTATCACATTAGTGTAAAATTTACTCAAACACTGCCTTTATTACTAGCAACAATCATGTTCTACTTGTAAGCTACAGAGAGTACAAGGACACAGCGTAGTTCATGGCCTTTGTTTCGCAATATCAAGTCACCTAACTCGCCTACATGAATTCTATGTCATTTGTAGTTTGCAGAAGATACTATTTTTTTAATGTTAGTTGTTGAGGGCTTAAATGTTTAGCACAAAAAAACAGCTGTCTTTAAAACAAGTATAATTTTAAAGTATCTGATTTATTAGTATGTAACAAGATATAGTTATCTATGAATTAATCTTTTAAAAATTAATAAATATTTTAAATATTAATCAGCGTTACCTTAAAGAGCCGTAAACTTAACATCCGTTTATATTTTATTAATTTCTTGCCATGACCTTTATGCAAAGATTGTATTGTCTTGACAAAATAAAGTAAAACCATCAAAATATCGTAAAACACGGTACGAACTTTTCTTTATCGTACTTCTATTACAATTTATTTGTAGAAAAACATCGATCTTGCATATTTTATTGCATAATTGGTAACATATAGGATGCAAAAATATTTATGAAATTCTGCGACTTTTTACAGCTTATTCAGTTTAGGATCTGATTATTTGTTAACAAATATATTAGGGTAAAATAGTATATAACGTGAACATATATTTATTTTTACGTATAATAATGCAACATTATGATTTCAGGGTCACCTGAAGATCTCATTTCTGTGATGAACAATGCTTAAACAAGAACTTCTCCTGTTGGTAAGTGAATAGTAAAATCATATTTCATAAATAAAATAAAAGTTAAATAGCCACCACTTATAACTTTTTACTATTACACACTATAATTCAATTTAATGCCAGCCTTAAAGTATTGACGAATTTGTGACTAGCACTCAAATTCACATCATCCCCTATAATTATTATTGATACTGTTATTCATATTATAATATATTTCCATTCAAGTATGTATTAACTTATATTATTATACTAGTATTAAGCAATTACGGTCGTTCTATAAAATAAGAAGATCTAAGACGCACTTGTAACACTTTCAACGGTCACTAAATAGCTGTTGCGATAAGTGTAGCGTACAAAATATCTATGTATATTTTGTAACAAAAAATATAACATTGTAACATTCTTTCTTATAGTTTAGTAATAACTTGCTCAATTAAATACTACGTTATTTTTAATCTGTTTCCATTTCTATTAGATTTTCATAAAATTAATCAATATAATTTTCGGATGTTCTTAATGTTTCATTGAGTTGTAACAATTAAATCACTTTTAATCAATTCAGTTAAAATGAATGTATACTAATATTTTATTGAATCGTCACGAAATCTATTAAGTCTAATAGTTTCAATAATTGATATAAATATTTTATTTAATCGAGATAATAACAGCACAAAATATTTAGATATCAAGGATGTAAGCATTTCTCGTATTTCTTCATGAAGATGCCATTCTTTAAACATGTTGACAATGATTTTTACATTTTAGACCACCTGTAAAAGTGTCTGGAAAATAACCAAACAACTCGTATTGTTGTAAAGAACTTACCTGACGAAAAACCGTTTATATACAATATAAATTCTTAAGCTTAAAATACTATTAAACTCTTCTGTTCACAGTAACTATATAACGGGAGTAGTTATGTTTATAAGTAGAATATGAATTGTGTAACAGTTTATTCAAATATTTAAAAAAAACTATTATTCAACCGTCCGTCATGAACTCAACCTTCAGGCGAAAGTAATACGCTATCGTAATTTAATCTCCATCCGATTCCTCATCATCCGACAGTCAATTGAGCGAACAATAGTTAAGCATTTTATTGCATATTATTTCCTTCTTTGATACTCATAATTTATTTGGCTTATAATGTTAAAATTGGAGACATGAATTTCAATTTTATATATGAAGTCACCTTCGCGTTTATTATAATAATGAATAAAGCTCTGGCGGTAAGACTGATTAAAAATCTACTCATTATTTTTAAGATATAACTTTATAATTTGCTTAACGTTCACCTTTTATTGGTAAATTAGATTTTAAAATACAAAATTAACTGGGTTTCGTAAATTAAGTTAATTTCGTCGTCGTAAAAAAACATGTAAAAGTGGAAATACAAGGAATATTTATAAGGACAAATGCAATATCTTCTAATCTTCTCTTTCAGACATATAATAAAGACGTTGTCTGTGTAATAGACGTAGGAGAAAAGCCTGTGTGCAGAACATTCATTAAATCAAGCCGACGCACAGTAACTACAAACAACGATCCCGTCTATGACCCGTACATTCCTAGAACTAATGCAGAATATTACATTTGCCCCGAATTCAATTGTACAAAAATAACACTTCGTTCAATAACAGAAGTGACATCACCGAAATTAAATTTAAAATGTTGTTTTTCCGAAAAGACATTCGAGTGCGAAAAGATTCGATATAATTATCTCAAAAATGTAGACAAGTTATTATTCTTATCGGAGGCTATACCGGATAAAATTTACTTTATGGTGGATTGCTTCATATATTCGGATGGCGGACGAATTTGTCATAGAAATAACGGCTTCAACTCTCATGCGGTTTTAGTCGATTTGTCGACTGTTGCGAGACGGAACGAAGAGAATATACTTTCACAGGACGAGTTTCTATGCGAGGAAGATGTCGGTAATGAAATTTTATGCGATCTTAATATTTACGTGCCATACGCAGATGGTCTTGAGCATAAACAGTTCATAAAAAACAATAATAACGTTCTTCTCAAAACTGGTAGAGATCTATTGGTAATGAAATATGAATGCAGAGGTTCGTGGTGTGGATTTGCAGCAAGTACAAGAACTAGACGAACTTTTATGAGAAGAGAAAGGTATGAGCCACCCGGAGGCCACGTGTATCGTTGTTTTTCTGCTAAAGGACAACAAGTTTGTAAACGACTGCCGTTCGAAGGAAGACACGCGTACAGGGAACGTGGTTGGCGAAGCCAGTGACGTAACAAATAAAATGTATTTCAAAACTAGATACAAATTAATGAGATATTATAACTCTTTTATTTTCACAAAATTTTGATAGGTCAGCTCTTATTTACCATTTTTTCTGGCGCATTGGGAACACATTCTATCAAGTATGACGTCTTTCGAGAAAATAGTCTTGGAGATTTCTTAAAGATGCGGTTACCCTATTCGTCTTAAAAAGTACCACTACTAAACCCGATATAAAAACAATGTTGACCTACATTGTAAATAAGAATCCTTAAAAAGAAAGACAAATTTAGTGTTGACGTTGTATAAAAAAATGTTATTGTTCTTCAATAGGCAATCAATGTTAAACTTTTGTAAGCCGAACAATGAAACCAATATGGCAGGAATGTCGTAAGCGCGTTGTATTTGTATTTTAATTAAACTGCACTTGGATCTAGCGATGTATGAAGCACCTACGTGGAAAATAAATGCTAAAACAAATGTATAGTTGATTAACTGAACTGAAATTAAATCAAATTCAAATTGTCATGAATATTCAAAACAGTTTTTAGTTTGAATCTGAAAAACAAGTGTATTAGTAGATTTCTGAGCCAACTACCAGAGTATTAGTTCTAGTTATAGAGCATACTTTAAATACTTAATATCACGCGTTTGCTGAATCAGATATCAGTTTCAGTCAATATATGTCTAGAATCAAGGAACTCATAGGCTTCTGGACACAAAAAGTGTACGGATGAGCTAATCGCGTAAAAAGATACAGAAAAAGATCTGAGAGATTACTTCAAAGTCACATGTTCCGGAGAAGTTAGAGGTATGTTTACCGCATCGGGGAGCTATCACGTTACGTCAGGTGCTTGATTTGCCTCTGAATTATTAGGTAAACCAATAATTATTATTATCATAACAATTGTCAAATCTTTTAAAAGCTAAAAAGTGAATGGATATAAAACAAAATAAAGTAAATACCTATGAATGCATTTAATTAGCCATAACGCAAATGTAAAGCTGTGTATACACTAAATGATATAATTAAATTGCAAATATTTGCAGTACACACTTCTATACACGCTACACGCTCATGTACACTCGCCCTGATAGTGAAAGTGGACAGTCCCATTCTCGGTACAAACAACACATGCGACCGGACTTATATTTATTACGCAACTATTTCGAAGTATTCCGCACTCAATAAGACCAGGAAAGATTGTGATCTTAATTTAAAATCCCTATAAAACATTTTGTAACAGTGACCCAGTTAAAAGCTTCCTGTTATGATTCAATTGGTATTTAAAAGGTCCATATTGGATTATTGAGTTATATAATTTTTATTTTCCCGACTTAAGGAAACCGGTGCACGTTAATTATGTTCAAGTTATACGTTCGCTTATCGTAATCAATATTATGTCACCGAGTTGCAAAGGGTATAACTATTTTGCGCAATCCTAAACATAATCTCTAAAATCTATACTTGCAATGAAGTACAGAAATAAAAAAATCCTCGATAAGGTCAAATGGCAAACGAAAACTAATTGTTAAAAGAACGGAGAAATGTTTGTGAAATATTATATATTAATAGTTACAATTTAAATGTATAACAAACCTAACTACAGATGGTTAACTAGGAATGTATCGGTTTAGGGACGTGAATCTCTACACTCATCATCATCAGCTCACTATACCTCCCCAACGAGGGGCTCGGAGCCTAGCCTAAGTCACGGGTGACTAGGCCATAGCCAACCATGCTGGCCCAGTGCGGGTTCGTTGACTTCACACATATCATTGAATTTCTTCTCAGATATGTGCAGGTTGCATCAGGATGTTTCCTTTTCCTTCACTGTAAGAACGTCGGATAAATGTACATATGTAAATCGGAAATCGAAAAACACATTGATACATGGCGGGATTCGAACCCAGGACCTACAGATTGCAACGCAAGTGCTTGACCTCTGCGCCACGGACGCTCTGAAGCGCCGAATCTCTAAACTAAATTGAATCAATAATAGACGATAAAATAAAACAAATCCACGGTATGGCGAAAGGTTTAAGTTGTTTTTAACACGTTACTAATTACAATTTTATCTACATTTTATTCTTATTTTGTGAATAATTGATGAGGCTAAAAGTAGTATTCTAGACTTAGATTAGCTATTTCGCGAAAAAGTTTTTTTACGAAATTCTTATGAGGTCACACCCCGCATAAGAATCTTTTCATAGCGCGATGGAAAATGTCTAATCTTCTTACCAATTGTATTGGTATGAGATCAGCGCTGGTTTGGTTTAATTGTCAAAAAAAGAATATTAATATTACTATCGTCATACTTTTCGTGATAAAAAAAAGAAATTCACAGGTGAATATGTCAAACGTTCGCCCACTCCTCCAAACAACTGGATTTAAGATCGGATAAAAAATAAAAAAATGTTTGTTATTTTTACACAGGTTTTCTCTAGGTATGTATAAAAACATTAAGGACAAATCAGACACTATGTATTTTATTTATTAGAGAATAAGAATCAGTCAAAATTATTACCTATAACCTAGCATTAAGCTTTAAGCCATAAATTTAAAAAATAAACGTTTAAATCCATACAAACACAGTACAAAATTATATGCATAGTGGTATTTAACCAGTTACATTTAAATGTATGCGTTTAATATTAAAAATGACGCATGTTGAAAGCATTTTTATTAAACGTTACAACAGGACACAAAGTCAAAGGAAACTCATAACATAGATTTACAATGTTCACATCTAAGTCAGCTGTCGAAACCTCG